GTTTTGGACGTATCTCCTTGAGACAAGTTTGTGTTTGTTAATTGATAAATATTAAGTGAAATACAGCATCCTCAAGTCTCCATACTAGCTAGTACTAAGGTCTACCCGCTGGGAGTTAATTCAGTATTTATCAATAAAGCCACATTCTCAGCATCATTAACTAAGCAGTTGCCAACCTTTTATGTTTAGCTTTCAATTGAGATACGAACATTTTCACCTTCGATTAGGTAGGGAAGGTCGAAGCATCACGATAGTCAGCAGTAGGATGAGCAGACAGGAACAGTTTGAATACAGCTACAGGCATAATATTTTACTCGGCTTGCTGTACAATACCTACCAAGGTGGTTCTAAACGGTTTCTGAATAACTCTGTATATATATATTATTTGGAGACTTCCATGCTTCTTGTGATTGGCCGTTAAGCTCGTGATGCCCTGACGGATTTCAGTCACTTTACCACATCAAATCACTTTTCGCAGCCTCGACGCTAGGAGAGTGCGGGAAATATCTTCTTTTTTGGCGAATAAGAATGTCCTAAAAATGTCAGTTCAAATTAAGAAAAACCGGATTGGGTATTTTTTTTTCAACAAAATGTTCCCCACTATCTCGTGGTACGGGGTTTTGATTTGCTACTGTAAAAGCTATAACTTGTAATAAAATATTAAAATATGCTTATGTTCTTGGTCATCTCTTTAAGTCAAAAATTTTTCAAAAAGCAGCTTAGAGTGAAGCAACTTTTTGATATACGACAGTTATAAACATATCGGAGCTATGCATTTTAAATATGTCATTTAAGTTTGTTTTAATTTCACAAGAAAAGCAGGGGATGTTTGGGATATTTTGCGTGTTTACAAATATTTAGATGTTGCAGCACAAATGTTAAATTCAACGAAAATTAGAATAAATGGGGGGGGGGGGTACTTCTTCAGCAAAAACAAAAAAAAGAGGAAACTAACAGGGGAGAAATAAGTTTCATTTTTTTCTTATTCTATCATTTGGAAAGTATAATGGGTGACAAGGGTTTCTGATCCTCTTCTGGGGCATAAGACAGAAACCCCCCCCCCCAGTGGCACAGCGGTACGTCCGCGGACTTACAACGCTAGAAACCGGGTTTCGATACCCGTGGTGGGCAGAGCACAGATAGCCCTTGTATAGCTTTGTGAATAATGAAAAACAAACAAACAAACAGAAAGAAAAACATATTGCTAAACAGCATGATGTAAGTTGCACGTAAACTAGTCCCGGGTTCAGATTGCGTGTATCTGCTTGTGTGAATAATTACTCAACATTTTCTACGTCTCACTAGTCGCTCAGTTAGCTACTTTATCATCTTGGTCGAAGTTTTCCTGAGGCATTTTTCCTAAATTTTTCTATGTGACATAGCTCGCTTGAGAGAATTAAGTAAATAAAGAAAGAAAAAAACTTTCTAGGTCCTAAATTAGGAAAGTGTACAGACATTTTTTTTTTCTGATTTTATCCCATCCTTCCCAAAAGGAAGGCAATATCCAATTACATATACTTTATTCATGTTATGGTTTTGATCGGTAACTTCCGGTTGCGCGAGATTTATTGGTATGCAAAAATTTGAGCTCTCGTGTTTAACAACGCTTGTAAATCAATGCTGTGAGAGGGTGCACGAAACGGGCCATGAATTAGAAATATTTGTAGATTTAAAACTGTAGATAGTGTAAAAAAAAAAAATACCATTAATCAAAAAACCGTAAATGAATAAAAATATAAAGATTATCAAAGACGGAATAGTAAAACTATCGACCTGTCCTATACGGAAATGCAAGCAAACACAGATAACTTAATGTCACTAGTTTTCAATTCCGTGTATCTTATTAAAATTCCAGTCTATTTTACATTCCAAAATATAGAATCATGTTAAAGTATTGTGGCATATAATTATTTTATAGCCTGGTTTTATAAGAAGGTATCAATGTCTGTATTATGAAAACTAATGTTCCACGCTCTCAGAAATTAAGGCCTAAGAACGAGGCTTAACAACTTTTGACAGTGATAGGTAAACATGTAGCTACTGTTGGTTGTACACTCTGAACTTAAAATATATTTGTATTGCTAGATATTCATAGAGTGAAACCTTTGATAAAGCAGCCACTTGAGTAATATGGACACAACTACGAGTTTAAGCTCCGCAGTTAAAGAATGGTATCGTGAGATGTTGTGAAGGTTGAGAGTAGTGAATTGTGGATTTTAGAAATATTTATTATGTGAAAATTGGAAAATATAATTAATGATTTCGGAAATAGGACACTAACACTTTACCTTCTATACTGGTCCTGAACGAAACCACATTCACCGGTTTCTTGTCAAACAGCAGTAAATGTGGTCTCGTTCAGTATCAGTATAGAAGGTAAAGAGAAGTTTCATGACCATCGAATATTTAATACTGTTGCGTCAGCGAAGTCACGTGACCAGTATCACGCCACGTATTTCTAGAAATATCCCGTTCCTTCAAGAATGCCCTAGCATTTACTAGATATATGTTAGTCAGGTATATATATATATAAGACGCTCACAACGTGACGGGACAACAGTGTAATGAGTAATTGAATGTATGCGGACAAAATATTGTTGGCCACGTGAGATATAGCGTTTGTTATAGCGCGACTGTTCAAAATAAGTGTATCGTAAAGTTGTATTCGGAAAGAATAAACCAGTTTTATTAAGTAAGGACTTGTGTCGCTAAAGTTTCGTCGGAACGAAGTTACGGAAAATCAACTAACGACTGGAGGCGTAACAATACAATACTGATATTACATGAATGGATCAATGTATCACGATCTTCATAACGCAGTCTTGATAGTGTTATTAGCCAGATTTCTCTCCTCTTTGGTATACGATAGAAACCCGTTTCTATACTTCGACCTTGCTTTTTTTTTAAAAAACCATTGTAACGCAGCAGGTGAGCATAGTATGTAAAAAAAGAAAGCAAATACGAAATAAATGAATAATGTTTTATTTTATTTTCTTTAATTCGATAGCAACTGGTGTACTAAAAAAGTTATCTAAATGTCAGACGCGAACTTTCTGGCAACTAAATAACGGATCATTCTTTCGCGCACGATTTTGTTTGTAATTAAGCACAAAACTACACAATGGGCTATCTGTGCTCTGCCCACCACGGGTATCGAAACCAGATTTCTAGCGTCGAAAGTCTGTAGACATACCACTGTGCCACTGGGGGGCAGCAGTGTGAAGTCAGATGAATGAAGTCTATTGTCTTACACATTAACATTATGTAGTAAGTTGCATTTTTTACATTCTCTGAAAAACAATAAAGAAATAAATTATAACCTGTAGCTAATATTTTATTTTTTTCCTGCATATTTCCTTTTCCTTTATTTTGCTATCTAGTCATACATTCTATTATAATGACGAGGAACTCCCTTGAAGTAAAGATA